TGCAATCCCAATCCAGATCCCATCAACATTTTTTGAGGATATGGAAAAAACAATCACTAATTTTATATGGAAAGGAAAGAGACCCGAGATAAGAAAAGCACTACTGAAGAAGAACAAGGTAGAAGGTCTCACCCTCCTGAATCTCAAAATCTACTATACAGCCACAGTAGTCAAAAAAGCCTGGTATGAGTACAATGACAGACACATAGACCACTGGAATAAAATTGAGAACCCACAAATAGATCCATCCACTTTGGTCAGCTGATTTTTTAAAAAGGGCCGAAATCCAATAAATGGGGAAGAAGTGGTCTCTTCAACAAATGGTGCTGGCAAAACTGGATATCCATTTGCAGAAAAATGAAATGAGATCTGTACCTCACACCATACACAAAAACTAACCCCAGATGGATCAAAGACTTAAATGTCAAACCTCAAACTATAAAGTTCCTCATGGAAAAAATAGGGACAAACTTAGGGGTCTTAATTTATGGCATAAATAGATGTCAGGCGTAACGCAAAATGCACAAACAGCAGAAGATAAAGTAGATAATGGGACCTTCTCAAAATTAAATTTTTATGTATTTCCAAAGACTTTTCCAAAAGTGTAAAAAGAGAACCTACAGATTGGGAAAAAATATTCAACAATGACATATTTGATAAGGGACTTACCTCTAGAATTTATAGAAAATTCTAACACCTCAACAACAAAAAGATAATCCAATTTAAAAATGTGTAGAACACATGAATAGACACTTCACCAAAGAGGATATCCAAGCAGCCAACAAACACATGAGGAAATGTTCACAATCATTAGCCATTAGATAGATGCAAATCAAAACAACCATGAGATACCATCTTGTCCCAGCACTAATAGCAAAGTTCAACAAGACAGAAAATAGCAAATGCTGGCGAGGATGTGGAGATTGGGACTCTCATACACTGCTGATGAAACAGTAAAATCATGCAACCACTGTGGAAAGCAGGATGGATGACAATTCCTTAAAAAGTTGAAATTAGAAATACCATTTGATTCTGCAGTTCTATTACTAGGTATATATCCTAAAGAAGTGAGAGCCAGGAGAAGAACAAATACATGCACACCCATGTTCATCACAGCACTATTTACAATAGCAAAAAGGTGGAAACAACATAGGTGCCCATCACCAGAAGAAGGGATAACCAAACTATGGTACATACACAAAATGGAATACTATGCAACACTAAAGAATAATGTTGTTGTTGTTAGGTGCCATCGAGTCATCTCCTACTCATATCAACCCCATGCACAGCAGAACAAAACACCACCTGGTCCTGCACCAGCTCCACGATCCTCACTATACTTGAGCCCATTACCACTGCCACCGTGTCAATCCATCTTGTTGAGGGCCTTCACCTCTTTTGTCCACCTTCCATCTTACCAAGCATGACATCCTTCTCCAGGGAATGGTCCCTTCTGACAACATGACCAAAGTATGTGAGACGAAGTCTGGCCATTCTTGCTTCTAAGGAGCATTGTGGCTGTACTTCCTCCAGGACAGATAGGTTAGTTCTTTAGCAGTCCATGGTACTTTCAGCATTCTTTGCCAACACCACAACTCAAATGCATAAACTCTTCTTTGGTCTTCCTTTTCATTGTCTAGCTCTTACATGCATATGAGGCGATTGAAAATACCATGGCTTGTGTCAGGCACACCTTAGTCCTCAAGGAAACATCTTTGCTCTTCAGCACTTATAAGAGGTCCTCTGCAGCTGGTTTGCCCAGTGCTATACATCATCTGAGCCAGGAGCTCTGATAGCATATTGCCCAAGGCACTTGACTGCTAACCAGAAGGTTGACGGTTCAAACTTACTAGCCACTCCTCTGAAGGAAGGTTGGGCAATCTACTTCCGTAGTGATACCATCTCAGAAACTCAAGGAGGGGTCGCTATAAGTCGGGTCCAGCTCAACGACACATAACAACAACAACAACAACATGTCGTCTGATGTCCTGACTGCTGCTTCCATTGGCATCAATTGTAGAACCAAGCAATGTGAAGTCTTTGATAACTTCAGTGTTTTCTCCATTTATCATGATGTTGCTTATAGGTCCAGGTGTGAGGATTTTTGTTTTCTTTATATTGAGCTGTAATCCATACTTCAGACTGTATTCTTCAGTCTTCATCAGTAAGTGCTTCAAGTCATCCTCACTTTCAGCAAGCAAAGTTGTGTCATCAGTGTATTGCAAGTCGTTAATGATTCCTCTTCCAATCCTGGTGCCACGCTCTTCTTCCTATAGTCCAGCTAACGAATAATGTAGAGTCTACAAAACACCACATAATGTGGATGAACTTGGAGGACATTATGCTGAGTGCAGTAAGTCAATCAGAACAAATATTGTGTTAGTTCACTATTGTAAAAAAAGTCAAGGAAAGGTTTATATATGGAAGGAAACTTTCTTTGTTGGTTACCAAGGGTTGGAGGGGCAGGGAGAGAACACTGCTAGATAGGTAGAGACAAGTATTGATTTGGGTGAAGGGAAGGGCAATATACCAAATGTGAATGATCAACACAGGAAGAGGAAGACATAGAGAGGTAGATGGGAGGCACAGACAACAAAGTTGAACCCTTCTGCATGTACAGTAGTGCATTGTCAGTGATGGTAAGCATTGATCTATAGGTGGGTGGATGGGTGGACATGCTACATGATCAGGTATGCCTAGGCAGGGGAGTGTGCCCATGACCATGTTTAGGGTTAGCATACAATGTTTCTAAATGCTCATTTGTATGTGCTGTAAGAATGTCTAGTTGTATAGAAGAGCTGACAAGGGACAAGGTTGTGATGGCTTCTTGGCCACAGCCAGCTACCCTGAGGGAGTGAATAGTTGGACCTATGGGCTTGGGACCTTGGTCGCAGGGGACATCAAGCTCAATTGGCATAGTATAGTATACAAAAACATTGTTCTACAGCCTACTTTAGTGAGTTGTGACTAGGAACTTAAAAGCTTGCAATCTGCCATCTAGATGCAATAATGGGTCTTTCCTCATCCAGAGCAAAGAAGAGTGAAGAAAACCAAAGACGCTTGGAAAAAATTAGTCCAAGAGACTGGTTGTTGTTGTTGTTGTTGTTGTTGTTGTTATTTGCCATCGAGTCGGCCCTGACTCATAGCAACCCCTCCTTGGGTTTCCGAGGCAGTATCACTACGGAAGTAGGAATGCCCAGCCTTCCTTCCGAGAGTGGCTGGTGGGTTTGAACCGCCAGCCTTCTGGTTAGCAGTCAAGTGCCGTAGGTACTATGCTACCAGAGCTCCTAAGAGACTGGTAGACCATGCTATTCTCACCCTATTTGACCATGAGACCAGAAGAATTAGATGGTGCCTGGTTACCAATGTCAGTTACCCAGAGGAGGATTGGTGCAGGAGATCCTGGATAGAGTGTGAGAAGAATGTGGAACAAAACTCAAAATCATGGAAAAAAAAAAAAAGATCAGGTTTGCTGGTCTGATAGAGCCTGGTGAGACCTCCGAGACTATGGCTCCTAATTACCCTTCAGGTCTGAAACTGAACTCACTCCTGTGGCTTCCAACCAAACAATAGACAGGCATATGTGGTGAACATTTACATCAGGTAGATATACTCCTTGGAACAATCAATCATGGGAGAAAAGAAGGTCAGTGTTTGCACAGGGAGATAATTCAGGGGGGCAGGGGTGCATGGGAGTGAAGGACACAGAGAAGAGGTAACTACGGGGAAGAAGTGGGAAGAAAGCTGCTACTTTGTGGGGAATTGCAGTCAGTGTCATGAGACAAAATGTATATGAACTACTGTATGGAAAACTAATTTTCTCTGTAAACTTTCACCCAAATCACAATAAAAATTAATAAATAAGTAAACTCATTTCCAGCAAGTAGATTTTGACTCATATCCTCCTCCATTGGGTTTCCAACACTGTAAATCTTTACAGAAGTAGTTTGCCTCATCTTCCTCCCACAGAGCAGCTGGTAGGTTTGAACTCTGACCTGCCTAGCAGCCAAATGCCTACCTACTGTGCCACCAAAGCTCCTTAAGCTGATAATTAAATGAGATCATACATATATATTGGCTATATCTGTTGTTGTTATGTGCTGTTGGGTCAGACCTGACTCATAGCGACCCCTCCTTGGGTTTCCAAGGCAGTATCACTACAGAAGTAGATTGCCCAACCTTCCTTCCGAGGAGTGGCTGGTGGGTTTGAACCGCCAGCCTTCTGGTTAGCTGTCAAGTGTCTTAGGCACTATGCTACCAGAGCTCCTTGGCTATATATAGTAAGCACTTAAAATGTTATTTGCTGTAATTATTTTAAGCAACAGATTTCACACTGAAATGAAAATGTATTTGTTTCCTAAAATAGGTTTTGATCTTCCCCACAGTAATTCTTTTGACCTTCTACACTGAGCCATAGATCTGCTCATGAAGAATATTTCTGAGGCTGGCAAGTCAATAGCAGTGTTGCCTACAGCATCATGTTATTATTGTTTGCTTTCTGTTTCCAGGTTGCCCGGCTCATGGAGATGGGATTTTCCAGAGGTGATGCTTTGGAAGCCCTTAGAGCATCAAATAATGACCTTAATGTGGCTACCAACTTCCTGCTGCAGCATTGATGGTCCTGAGGCCCCGAAACAAGGACAAGCTGTGCACTGTGGAGTGACAGTGGGCATGACCCCACTGCCAAATCAGCCCCAGAGGACCACGTACTTTCTAGCCATGTTCTCATGGGTAAAGGTGGTCCTTCTGCTTCCCTGTTCTTAACTCCAAGATGGTTACAGTCATAGTATCAAAAATAAGTTTGCCATTAAATAAGCATGTATTTTCTATCTTTATTTTTCTATTGGGTATTTTCCTTAGTTTGGAGAGTCATCACTCATTCCTATTGTGTTTTAAATGCATTAAAATTGCATATTTCTGCAACCAGTTAAGTAACGCTCCAGATGGGAAATGACTGCCATTGTAATAGTGTTTTTACAGTAATGCATTATCCTACATAACATTTGATTATAGTAATCTTAAAAGGGAAAGGGATAATGTTATTTCAGAAAGGACATGACAAATTTTTCAGTCTGGACTTTTTTAATAAGTGTTTTTTTTTTTCTCACAAAATTTTCTAAACCCTAGTGTCTGTTCAGAATAGCCACCTTGTAAGAGCTCAGCAGTGTTTGTCTGCTGCACACAGTATTAACCAGGCCTCAGTGACAAGGGAGAAGCAGGGATCTGAATCCTACTTCATGTGCATTGTTCCAGCCCACTCCAGTCCAGGAAATTTTTCCCTGTTCCCCCTTACTTCCATTAAAATAATGATAATAATGTACAATTTAAGGTTCTGGGAGACTCCATGAAACTTAACTGGGGTTAATTTTGCTCAGAATATCCAGAGTTAGTCACTCAGCTTATGGGGTGAATATAGAATAAAGAGTAAACAAAGAGAAGAGTGGGCTTCCTAGAGCAATATGAGGGTCTAACCAGAGTGCTCAGTGGCTTGCCTATAGTGGTTTAAGCCCTAGATCAGAAGAGGAAATACCTTAACCAGTGTTTTCACCTGAATTCTGTCCCAGCTATAGAGCCAAACTCTCTGTCCCTTACTGTTCACAGCCAGGCCCTCTATCAGCAGGCTCTTCCAGAGACCTAGGGTGTTGACTAGGATTGAAGAGTTCCTTAGGTGGGGTAGATCACAGAATATCCCAGTTGGGAAGAGAAAGGCAGAAGGCAGGAAATGAGCATGAGAAGACCTAGAGCACGTTGATTATGGAGATTTAAGAAAATTGTGCAACTATTATGTTCTGCAGAATGAGCAGAAATGTATCAAATTGATGCATATTTAGAGTGTGATACAATAAAGTTTTTAATGTGTTTTACTTTTCAGTATTTTTTGTTAGCTATATCTAAATAATTTTGTTCTAAGCTATATTATTTATCACAAAAAGGAGAAACAAAAATGTTTACCAGATGGCTCATCTTTCCTTCCTTAAGACTTGGGTGTTTTTGTTTTGGGAGAGGCACTTGTGTTCCTATAAGTAGTACTTCTCCCAGACCATTACCAGGTTAGTGTTCTTACCATGCTAAAAACCTGGAAACCTGAAGGTCATGAGGTCCCCTTCTTTGGCTCAATGGGCTATGGAGTTGCTCAGGCTGGGAGTTTGGGTAACTTTCTGGGAACCCAGCTGACCTTAAGCACAAGCCCCTGACTTGAATCTGCAGTTGAGTTCTCCATCCCAAGTTATAAGGAATATTGATGGAAATGGAAATATCCATGACCAAATTCACTGACCAGTGGTATGGTAAAGAGATCCTGAGGAAAACTACAAAATACTACTTCAAGAAACTATAAGAGGTCTACATAAATAGAAGAACATACAATGCTCATGGATAGGAAGGTTGAACATTGTAAAAATGTCAATATTACCCAAAGCAATTTAACATTCAATGCAATCCCAATCCAGATTCCATCAACATTCTTTAAGGATGTAGAAAAAACAATCACTAATTTTATGTGGGAAGAAAAGAGACCTTGGATAACCAAAGCACTTCTGAAGCACCAAGTAGGAGGTCTCACAATTCCAGACCTCAAAACCTACTATACAGTCACAGTAATCAAAACAGCCTGGTATTGGTATAATGGCAGGCATATAGACCAGTGGAGCAGAATTGAGAACCCAGAAATAGATCCATCTGCCTGTGTTCAGCTGATCTTTGACAGAGGGACAAAATCCATTAAATGGAGAAGAGCTAGTCTCTGTAACAAATGGTGCTAGCAAAACTAAATATCCATTTTCAAAAATGAAACGAGACATAACTCACACCATATACAAAAATTAACTCTAGATGGATCAAAGACTTAAATGTAAACATAAAACTATAAAGTTTATCAAAGAAAAAGTAAGGGCAAACTTAGAGGCCTATATATGGCATTAATAAACTACCAAACATAAGTAAAAATGCACAAACAACAGAAGATAAACTAGATGACTGGGACCTTCTAAAAATTCTTAACTGCATGAAAAGACTTCTCCAAAAGAGTAAAAAGAGAACCTACAGATTGGGAAAAACATACAGCATGACATATCTGAAGAGGGACTTATCGCTAAAATTTGTAGAAAACTCCAACACGTAAATGTCAAAAAGACAAACAAGCTAAATAAAAAATGAGCAGACACTTTACCAAAGAAGATACTGAGGTGGCCAAAAAACACATGAAGAAATGTTCGTGATCATTAGCCATTAGAGAGATGCAAATCAAAACAACCATGACATACCATCTCACTCCAGCAATAATAGCAAAGTTCAGCAAGACAGAAAATAACAAATGCTGGTGAGGATGTGGAGAGATTGGGCCCTCCATATACTACTGGTGGGTCTGTAAAATGATACAAGAACTGTGGAATATGGTATGGCAATTCATTCAAAAGCTGAAAATAGAAATACCATTTGATCCAGCAATCCCATTACAAGTTATATGTCCTAAAGAAGTGAGAGACAGGACATGAATAGATATATGCACACCAATGTTCATCGTAGCACTATTCATAATAGCAAATAGATAGAAACAACCTAAGTGCCCATCAGTGGCAGAATGGGTAACCAAACTGTGGTACATACACACAGTGGAATACTGTGCAACATTAAAGAATAATGTAGAATCTACAAAACACCTCGTTATGTGGATGAACTTGAAGGACATTATGCTGAGTGAAATAAGTCAATCATAGAAGGACAAATAATTGTATTAGTCCACTATTGTAAAAAAAAAAAAAAAAAAGGAAAGGTTTATATATGGAAGGAAACTTTCTTTGTTGGTTACCAGGGAGAGGAGGATAAGGAGGGAAAATCGCTAAATAGGTAAGAGACACATTGATTTGGGTGAAGGGAAAGGCAATATACCAAATGGGAATGGCCAACACAATAACATTAAGGAAGAAGAAGACACAGAGAGGTGCACAAGAGGTAGAAACAACAAAGATAAAGACTTTCACATATATCATGCTGCATTATCAGTAATCTACGGGTGGATACATAGGTGGACAGACTGAATGATCACATATGTCTAGGCAAAAGGGAATATACCCATTACCATATGTAAGTTTGGTAAACAATATTTCTACATACGTTTTTGTATGTGCTATAAGAATGCCCATATATAATAGAACAAACAGGGAGAAAAGTTGTGATAACTCCTTGGCTATAGCCAACCACCCTGAGGGAGTGAGTTGTTGGGTCCACGGGCTCAGGACCATGGTCGCAGGGAACATCAAGCTCAATTGGCATAATGTACTACACAAAAACTTTGTTCTACATCATGTTTTGGTTAGTAGTGACTGGGACCTTAAAAGCTTGTGCACAGCCATCTAAGATGCAACAGTCCTAATCCAAAGCAAAGAAGAATGAAGAAAATCAAAGACACATGGTAACAGTTAGACTGACAGACTTGTGGTAGTTAAGGTTATATGTCAACTTGGCTGGGCCTGGTTTGAGTGGCTAGGCAGCTGGATGTAGTGATTCCCCATGATGAGACTGGTAGTCAACTCCGTGGTGGAATCTTTTGGAGCAGCTGAGTAGCTGCCCTAGGAATGTAGTCTGTTTCCAATATATAAGAAGAAACTTTGAGAAAGGTCTCTGAGCTTCTTGGCACATTTGGATCCTGCATTTGGCCAAGTCATCAGTGAGTGGCCTGCAATATTGCCTTTCAGTCTTGGGATTGTTTCTGTACTTGAACTAGTGGCCTGCCATGTTACTTAATAATCTTGGGACTGTGTCATTCTACTTGTCAACCTTGGGTTTGTCAGCCTCAGCAGCCAGCAGCTGCCTGAGTTAAGAGAAGCCTCCAGCTTCAGTGAGCCAGAAGCAAGAAGCAGAGCTAAAGCCTTAGGTCAAAGGGACCCAGACCCTAGAGATGGCACTTTGAACTTGGACTTCTAGCCTCCCAAAAAGTAAGACAATAAATCCCTGTTTGTTGAAGCCATCCATTTGTGGCATTTCTGTTATAGCAGCACTAGAGAACCAAAACAGGACTAGTGGACCATATGAACTTCAGCTTTCATGACCCTGCAAACGAGGTGGCACCCAGCAACCACTGCCAACCACTTGGAAAGGAATCAAAATTGGAGATCCTGGATAGAGTGGGAGAAAAATGTAGAACAAAACTCAAAATCATCAAAAAAAAAAAAGACCAGGCTTATTGGTCTGATAGTGACTGGTGAAACATGCAAGACTGTGGTGCCTAGTCACCCTTCAGAACTAGAATTGAACTCACTATAGGGTGAACATTTACACCAGGTAGGTACTCCCCTTAGGGCAGCAGTACCCATGGGAGATCAGAAGGGCAATATTTGCACAGGGAAATTGCTCAGAGGGCAGGAATGCATGAGAAAGAAGGACACAGGGAAAAGGTAGCCACTATAAAGGGAAGAAGTGGAACAGGGTTGTTAACATTGTGGGGATTTCAGTCAGTGTCATGAAACAAAATCGCATGAATTGTTGTATGGGAAATGAATTTGCTCTGTAAACTTTCACCCAAATCACAACATAAAAAAATAAAGAATAGTGTAAAACAAAAAATTGTATTGAAAATAACAGATAAAATCAAAAGGTAATGATCTAGGAAAATACCTGTACGATATTACAGAAAAGCCTAATTTCTTTAACCAGTAAAAAGCTCCTATAAATCAATAGAAAAATGGTCAAGACAATAAATTGGTATATTTGTAATAATGTATGTAAAAAGGTATTCGTTACAGAATTGATTGAATAACAAAAATTTGGAAACAAATTCCATCTTTAGGGGACTAGCCAAATTATAGTCCAGCCATATAATGAAATACTGTTAAAATACAGACTGATAAGGAAGATACTTAAGGTACATAGTTAATAGTACAAAGTTAAGCAAGATGTAGAACTGAAAAAAAAGAAAAAAGAGCCTGAGATTTATATTACCTCTGAATTAAATTT